ACACGCTGTTTCCTGCTTGGTGTCCCGTCCCCGCCAGGCACCCCCTAGACTCAGGTTCAGCCCAGGAGCCCAAGGTCAAGCCTTCTCTCCATCCTCAACCTCCTTACGTCCCTCTTCTGGAAGGCCTGGAACCACATCTATGCTAGCACTTGTCACAAGTTTCCAGGGTAGGGATGATTTGTGTGTCTGTCCACAGCCCCGTGGCTGCTGAACCATGCAAGGGGAGGGAGGGGCGTTTTCAAAGAAATTGCTGAGGGACTTGAGAACCTGAGAACAGCTGGCTTTCCAGCCTCCGTGGTCCTGAATCCAAAGCCCGGATACTAACGGCACTCGGAGATGGTGTTCATTCCTGCTAAGTGCACGGGGAAGAGTGCAGATTTTCACTCGGAGGGGCAGGAAGGGCGTTAAAACAATGGGACTTTTCCGAACAGCCTAACTATGCAGATACAAGCAGCTGGCACAGTTGCTGGCCACTCTCAGTGATGAAAGCTGGGGGCTAAGGGCTCCTGACACTGCCTAGAAGAGAGCACTCCATTTCCACGCACGTGTTCCAGAGGATGGTCCGCGGGCTTCACTTCCCTTCGCTGCATTCACCCAAAACTTTAAAACGAGTGGTAGAAAAATATGATTACCTATGTTATTACTCTGGCCGAAGCTTCATCGTATCTATCAAGTCCTGGGCACTGTGTCGGGAGGGTACAGGTGTTACTGAGCCTGTCCGCCTTGGCCCCTCCAATAGATACTGTCATTCTCATTCTGTACTAAAAAGCAGAGTGAACTTGCCTAGCATGTGAGGGCCCTGGGCTCCATCCTCAGGACCACAGGAAAAAAAATGGGGTATGGGAATGTTGTGGGAAATGGCTCAGTCAGTGAAGTGGACCTCAGTTCTGACTTCTGGTGTGCATTTGTAATCTCAACGCTGGGGAGGTCGAGTCAGAAGGATCCCTGAGGCTCACAGAGAGACTGTGTCTCAAAAAATAAGATGGAGAGTGATCCGAGTGGAGCCCTGATAATGACCTCTAGCTCCTACAAAACTAATACAAACAAACCTACTCATGCATAAACAAATAGATTAATAAGGAAGGAGCTAAGGCAAGCCCAGAGGGACTGCCCCTCCCCCAGCTGGTCTCCAGCCCGGACATATAAACCAAAACCACATCCACCCCTCTATTACAACCTGTGGGCTGGAGGGCACATGTTTCGAAGGGACACTGATTTTAGTCCTTCACCCTGCCAGATGTCATGACCACATGCAGTATTTTTCTCTCACTGTCTTGTGTGTAGCTTCACACACTTTCCCACATTTCTCCTCTGCCCACTTTTAATATGCTGGGACAAGCTAAAATTACAGCATATACCATATAAAAATAATGCTGTTCACAGGCTTGTCTGTGCTGGCAGAGAAACTTCCCTATTAGGACAAAGCAAAGGATGCACATTTTCAGCCACCCCCAGAGAAAGGCCAGAAAAGACAACAGAAAAAAAGAAACTTGCCATGGCTGCTGAGAGAGACGGCCACAGATTTATGTCACTCATAGGCTAAACAGGAAGGAGGAAGGGGAAGAGGCGGTCATTAGGACGCCAAGAAGCAGAGGGGACCAGCCTGAGTCTGGGATCACTCCCCCATGCTTGAAAAACAGAGCAGGGCAGGGCATAGCACATCCACAGACACCCTGATCCAAGCTGCCCTTCCACAAGAGGTCTGACATTTATGTCGGCCATGACTGCCAGGCCAACCCTGTCAGACATTAGAGATTTGAACCAGTTTAACGGACCCAGCCCATCAGAGTACTGCTGGCGAAACTGGAAGTGTTGCTCAGAAAACGCAAAATGAATGATCTTGGTGGCACAGTGACCGTTTCCTTCTTCCTGCTTTTCTCTCTTGTTCCTCCTCCCCTCCTTTCCTGTCCCCTTTCACCTCCTTCCTTCCCCTTCACCGCCCTCCCCTCCGCGTCCTGCCCCCTCCTCTTCCTTTCCACCCCCTCCTCTCCCTTTCTTTTTGAACTCTGTTGAGGGTCTGTGGCCATGGCTGGAGCGTGTCCCTGGAGCTGGGACGCTGGAAGCCAAGTCCTCAGTGGGACGATGCTCACCTTGAAGAGTTGCGGGCTGTGCCGTGCAATTGTGTGTCACGTCACTGGGGGTGTGAGAGATGTTCTTGCAGGGTTGGCTCTTACCGGGGTGGGTTGTTATAACAGAGAGGGCCCCACCTCAGTCTGCTTCTTCCTCATGCTCCTGCCATGACTCCATCCTCCAGCTATGTCACAGCCCAGGGGACCCTTACCGGAGTCACTGCTGTGCTCCCAAGTCTCCCAAAGCCTTCCTTTACACACTACCCAGCATCATGTATTCTGTGACAGCAACAGAAAATAGGCAGCTGCCATCTCTCGGGAGTGCTGCAGATGATGAGTTGCCGTCCTGGGAACATGTTTGTACACATATGCAATGTGAGAGGGCACGTGTGGGGAAAGCCTGTCTGGTGGCCGGGTCTGAACAACACACTGAGGCAGGAGATGCAGCAGAAGCTTTGGCCTTACTGCAAGCAGCCAGATCACATGACTGGACCGTGCTCTGCCCCCAAAAGAGAGGAAGGGGACATGCTCAGAAACCTGGCCACAGTGACCACCTGGGCCCCAGAGTTTGGGCTTAAGCTAATACAGGACATTTGTTTGGACTTTTCAGTATTAAAACTCCTGATAATAAAAACTCCTGAGGTTACCATAGCATATGGGCAGCCTACCTGACCGCAGAGGTTCCAAAGTAGAAGTCAAGGTTTGTGTCTTAAACAACAGCACAGAGCAGCCAGGCCCAGGCCCTGCCACTCACTGGCTGCATGGGCTAGCAAGGTCTTCCAACTAAGGTCCCATGTTCTACTTCATACAGGAGAGCTGAGGCAGGATCTGTCTCAAGAAGTGTCATCCATTTTAAAGTCATCTAATTCAATAGGAAGTGTCCAGGCCAGGACAGGTCCCTGTGTCCCCAGCCGGGGACACAGACCCCTTCGTGCTGATGGGACATACCCTCAGGTGCAATGCCCAAGCCATGAAGAGGTGACAATAATCTCAGGCACAGAGGCAAGTCCTCTTTTCTTTGACACCTTGGTTTAAAACAACGGAAAGGCCAAGCTTCCTGGCTCTCTGCCAGCAGGCAGGGCAGACAGTTTTCCTGTGGGGCTCCCAATTCCCGCGACAGAACATGTAACCTGGGGAACATGCAAAGGGAGAGCCATCTGCTTGGCTTCCAGACAGTGCAATTAGCTGAGAGGTGCCTTTACATCGTAGGACTCCACATTAAGCCGAGATTAATTAATTGCCACATTAATGGGAAGCACCTTTGCTCCCCAATGACATAATCACAAGCAATTAGGAGCATAGAAAGGAGCTCTTTATAATTAATGACGTCTTCACTTCCTGAAATGTGTAATCCTCTGTCTTCAATTCCAAAGAGGTTTGCAGACAGAGGTACTAAATATAGATCAAGAACTAATATTTAAATCGGTTTTGAATTCACCTTTTCATATGAACAGTGAGCCCAGAGCAAAAGCTGACTCCGTTTACTAGGAATTAGGCCTTTGTGTCCACGAAGCTAAATAGCCAGCGAGCATGGATTCAAACAGAAGTGCCTGATATGTTTATCCTAAATAGAAGGAATTTTGCCCTACCAAGCACACAAACTGATTTGTGAGAAATGAATTAAACTCATACCAATCGTCCTGGCTTTGGCAACCAAACTGTGATTCACTTTAAAAAGCCCTCTAGGAGCTGGAGGAGACAGCTCAATGGTTAAGAGCACTGGCTGCTCTTCCAGAGGCCCTTGTTCAATTCCCAGCACCCACCTGGCAGCTCACAACTGTCTGTGACTCCAGTCTTAGGGGACCCAACGCCCTCTTCTGGCCTTCATGGGTACTGCACATGTAGTGCACAGACATACATGCAAATGAAACACCCATATAAATAAAATTAATATTGTTTATCGTCAAATTATAGCACTCCATCTCTCACCTTCTTAATACAGAAATGAAACTGGCTTTGCTTCTAGCTAGGGAAGTTACTAACCAGTCAAATGTCACATGCCAAGCACAGCTATACGTACTTAGCACGAATGGCTCGGAGACCCCTCACAGAGAGCCTGATTCAGAAACTGCTATGATGCCCGTTTCATAAGCAGGGACACTGAGGTGCCAGATCCTTAACAGTAATAATGTGTTCGGGGCTGGAAGAGTAACTCAGTGACAGAACACTTGCTTAGTGTGCACAAGGACCTAGGGCTAGCCCCTAGCACACAGGGGTCAAATACTGCACCCCAAACTCCCATTTCCGAGGAAAGGTTCTTCTGACTGCACCCTATTCAGAAAGAACAGACAGATTTTTCCAGACTCTAATTCTTAGTCCGTCCCCAGAGCAGCATCTGGAAAGCCCCAGAGCCACCCGACACCTCACCCCTGCTGCCAGCCTCCTTCAGCAAGTTACTCACGAAAAGGCGGGGACAAGATCTGAGCCCCAGTAACATCCTGAAAGTTTCCCCAGGAGGGGAAATCCTCACAGTGGTTTTGCTCAAAATTAAAGATGCAAACAAACCTCCATTTTCTCGTGTTTCCTGTGTGTTGTTTGTGCACATACATGGTCATGGGTATACATGTGGCCATCATTCCTCAGGTCCATACATCAGTCTTTTATTGAAACAGGGTCTGTTAGTGGCCTGAAATTGACAATTAGGCAAGGCCGCATGGCTAGTGAGTCCCAGGGATTCTCCTGTCTCCGCCTGTCTGGTTCTGGGATAGCATATTTCACACTGGGCCTTTTTTTTTTTTTTTTTTGTGGGTTCCAGAGACCGAATTTAGATCTTGTGCCTACAGGTCAAGCACTTCACTGAGTGAGCTGCCTGAGCCACTGCCTCTGTTTTTTAATTTGATCGACAGTACCCGCTCATCAGCCCTCATCAACGAGGTAGGAGAGGAGTGCCCGCGCCTTCCCCATCCCCTAGGGAGCTGAAGGCTGCTTTACCTTGTCATAATAGTATCTCAGGGCTCTGCTCAGCTTGTCGTAGTTCATGTTTGTCTTGTTTTTGCGGAGACCCCACAGCTTGGCCACCTCTTCCGCTTTGAGGAGCTTGAACTCGCCGTCGTTGGATGTCCAGCAGATGAGGTGCTCATGTTTCTGGTCCAGCAACAAGTGCAAAAGGAACTGCCACAGCGTGATTGCACTCTCCATACCTGGGGGGTGGGAGGGAGGCAGGCAGGTCAGAGCCGGGGCCTGCAGGCCAGAGGCTACTCATAGCTCTGCTCCATAGAGCGTAACAGTACTTTCCACCCCATCCCAATGGACTGCCTAACCACACACAGACTTTCTGCTTGCACTCTTGCAAGCAGCTTAGATGCAGAAACACAACATCCAGCAGGCATCAGTGCCCTGGGATCCTGGAATTCATCCGGTATATACAAACCAGCAGAGGTCGCCCTGCACTCGGAACTATGTGCTGGTAAGTCCCCGTTCAACTCTTCCTTGCCTTAGCTGTACCTTTGCCCACCCATCGCATCAGCTGTGTTTTGGCCATTCTCTAGCTGTTTCTTGCTGAAATGGGACATGGGCACTGCTGGGGCTAAGTGAGTTTACACAGGGGCTGGGATAATGAAGGCATAGCATCCCTTGGTTGAACTGTCCTTTCCCACCACACAGCCAGCTTTGCATTGCGGGGAAGGGACTCACTCTTTGCATTGCTTACATAGAGCAAATGCCCAGGAGATGCTGGTGGATTTAAAGGATCAGACATCGCCAACAGAAGAGAACATCAGTTCCCCCAGGCGCCTACCATGCAGCTAGCTGCTCCAGCCCCAAAGTCTCAAGCACACCGGTGGGAAGTGTTTGTCCCATCAGGAGAGGGAATGCCACAAACACGCCACCCTTCGCCTTTGACTGCAGCACGAACGCCACACCGTCGTTCATTCCTCCTTAGAAGCTGTTCTCTAGTTCCTGGGACTTTGTGAACTCCAACTCATCTACCCCGACACAGTTCAAGTGGGATCATTGGAGGTTCTGGATTTTGATCCACTGAGTATATCCATAAGAAGTTATCCCCATGTTTTATTACACTTATTTACTCTGTGTGCACGGGACACATGTGCACCCCTGCATACCGTGGCATGTGTGTGGAGGTCAGAGAACAACTTGCAGCATCTGTTCTTTCCTTCCCCCCGGCCCTGGGAATTGAACTCAGGGTTGTCAGGCTTGGCAGCAGGCACTTTTAGACCCACTGAGCCAGCTCACCAGCCCTACCCATTTATTTTGTCATCATCCATGTAATTAGGGAAAGCTTTCCTACGAGTCAGTTGTCATGAGAAGCACCAAGGGTGTTTTGATCCGGGCCGATGGAGCTGGGAGTTTCCTGCTGAGCTGAGAACGCTCAGTAAAGATTCCAAGCTGTGACACAGAGACAAGCGGACAGAATGAGGGAACCCCCTATATGGCAGCAAGGAGACACTGGGGACCTTGTGACAGCCCAGGGTTATAGAGTGAGGGACAGTGAGAAAGATGCCTGGAAGACAGAACAATAGCCTTGAGGAGTTCTCTACAGGGAGTCTCAAGGCTCCACTTCTCAATTGCTCTTCATAGAGCAGCTTCATGGTGGCCAAGGAGCCAGAGAGAGAGGCAGGCCCATCGGTTCCCTGCAGGCAGACCTTCAAACTGACTGACATCTTTCTGCCTTTTCCAGCAGGTTCCAGAGGGCAGGAGTATTGCTCAGTGGGAGAACACTTGGCCAGCGCGGCTGGGGGCCCTGGGTTCCATGGCAGCACCACAAGAAACAGCTTTGGGATCCTAACAGCAGTCACACACCCCGCCCCCTTGCCATATGAAAGCCCCTCAGTCACCCCTATAAGAATTCACTTCCTGCTTCTTCTCACAGGCTCAGCCAGAAGAAAGAATCCTATTGTTTCTCTGGGTGCCATGAGGGTGTCTATGTTAAAGAAAATCCAGACTAAGAATGTGCTACAAACACCCACAGGGTGTTTATTTATAACTCTTTAAAGGGGGTATTCTTAAAGAGATCGGCCTTCACCACAGTGGTCACTGGTTTATGAGAGTCGGCCCCACTGCTTCTGACTTCAAACCACACCGGTAACTCCTGAGCTCCACAGGGCCTCCTAGCAGGATGGGCAGCGTTATGGCTCCAGCTCCTAGAGAGCTGGAGTAAGCCACACACATTGCAAACTCTCTGGTGTCTCTAGCCAAACCTTCTAGAAGTGAGTCTTTAAATATCTTTGAAACTTAGTGGCCACTCAGAGGAACCTTCCTGGAGAGGCAGAGAGATGCCAGCCAGTTTGGAGTTCTGCAGAAAGGGAAGAGCTAGGCCTGTTTTCTCTCTGGCTCCCAGGCCAGGTGGGAACCTACCCAGCAACCCCAAACCTTTAACTGCTGGGAACCAGCATTGTTCCACAAGAGGCAGGGAGACAGCAGAGGCACCTGTGTATTTTAGATCGCGGTCTCACCAGGCTCCTGGGGAAAGGGAGTGTTTCCTAGAATCCCCTCTGTGAGCTCCAACCTGTGCACTGGGAAGAGGGGCTCAGCACAACCTGGAGGTCCTATGTGGCTTCCTGGGTCCCTAGAGCTCCCTCTGTGTGGACCTCCAAACCAGCCAACTCTTTCTGCCCCTTCGAGCAGAGCCCTTGGCATGGCTACTGAAAGTTGCCAACGTATTTAAATTAGCTATTGTCCAAAGGTTTGGCCAGAATTTGGACACCAAGAATATGATAGAATTTATTCCCTTTCTTCGCTGCTTTAAGGGGCCACGCAGCTCTGCTCTACACTGGGCCCCTACATGGGCAGCATCTACACGACAGTTGGCCTTGGCCTTGTGTCTCTACCTAGTCAGTGAAATACTGCATTGCAGTGATGAGATACAGAGTTGACCTGAACTTTTCAAAGGCTGGCATGGACACGTCAGGAAAATAAATGCTGCCACCAGCAAGCCGAGAATTCGTGGGACAGTTTGTTACATGCAGCCACTACAGCAAGAGTTGACTGCTGCGACATCACACATATTTGTCCTTCCCTTCGCTAGGATGCCCTCTGGAGCTCAAAGAGATGGGAGTGGGGCAGAAAGGGAACAGACCAGGGAGTGGATAGCGGAGATGGGGCATCTAGCTGCTGGGACTCCCAGATTCCTGAAATGGGGGAAATGGGCCCACAGAAGGCAAGGGCAGAAAAGAGATAAGGACCTCAGAGCCACCCAGCAACTCTCAGGGCAAAGCTGGAGAGTCACTCAGAGCCATGTGAGCAAGCATGCTCCCTGGAGGTGACTAAGGGCTCAGGCTTCATGTGTGGAAAGCACTCCACCCAGCACAGGGCTCAGTCCAGCCATGGCCTTGCCCTACTAGGAGTCCCAGTTTTGATGATTGAGTCACACCTAGTTCTATTTTGTGTTGGAAGCCAGGCATTACTCAGCAGTGAATGTCAGATATAGTTCTCTTTTAGCCAACTCATAGTCCCACCACTATAGAGGTCATCCTGGGGGTGGGGGGTGTCCCAGAGGCACAAGTTGGCTCTGAACCCCTACCACCAAGCTGTGTTGCTTGGAACCAGGAAGCCAAGCCAAGGCACAGGTTGGCCACCAGCAGAGGACACTACTCCTGACCTCTCCCCTCAAGGGCACAAGCTGTGTTTCTTTGACTCCATTTCTCCTCTTGATTTTAATTATGACGTCAAATTTCGTAACTTGCTGTTGTTTTCACACACAACCATGGGTCATGCCGTCCCATCCCCAGCTACAACGCCTGTCTTTTAGAATGTCCAGGAAGAGAAAAAGTCTGACATATGTACCCGGGGGTACACTCTAAGAACTGTGGGTACTGTAACTCAGCTTCCTGTAGGACTTTACTAGGGAAGAATTAAAGAAAGCCTTGCTGCGGCGGGGCGAACAATTATATGGATACATCGTATCCATGAGACTATCGTTTCTGCAACACTACATTGATACAATGTTCTGGCAGCCAAGCCTGCTTTAAGTTACAATGTGTCATCAGCTGACATTCATTTGGCTTCTTGCCCAGATGTACTAGCTTCCAATGAATAGAACACTTGAAAGAAATGCTAGAAATGTGACAAATGCTCTCGCATCCATTCCCGGGTAGTCTAGGCTTTTCAATGTTTCTTTTTTTCTTCTCCCCCACTTTGATTTTTATTGGTTTGGGATATGTCAGCATGCACAAAAGGCACCAAGACAGTGAATTCTTTCCTCTTTATTTTTGGAATCTCAGACTTCAGTCTCCTAGGTCATTGTTAAGATAAACAATAGATTATTGTAAAGTATGAAGTCCCTAGAACAGAACTTGCCAGAACTTGCTCCTCCAGGTATGTGCATTGGTTTCTACTGTCGAACCTCCCTTTATCCAGCTCCTGACCCTTCCAGCCTCTAGTAATGACTACTTTACACACAGACCACTCTTGGAGCTTCCGCACACTGAAGAGAACACCCAACACACTTTGTTGCTGATGTCGGCTTGTTTGTTGGCTGATTAGAAAATGCTTCTCCTAGCTGGGCGATGGTGGCTCATGCCTTTAATCCCAGCACTCGGGAGGCAGAGGCAGGTGGATCTCTGTGAGTTCGAGGTCAGCCTGATCTACAGAGCAAGTTCCAGGACAATCTCCATAACAATACAGAGAAACCCTGTCTCGGGGGAAAAAAAATGCTTCTCTTGTCCGGCCCAGACCTTGTTTTGAATATAAGGAATTTAATCAGGTATTTTAATGCCATCCTGTGAAAAATTGCTGTGAGGGAGGAGCGTATGCACACTGCAGCATAAGAACATATGGATGGAAGTCAGAGGAAATCTCTGTGCAGTTGGTTCTCAGGGATAGAACTCAGGTATCCAGGCTTGCCAGCAAGCACCTCATCCGCTATACCACCCCACCAGCCCATCAGTGCCTTCCACACCCTTCACTAGCACACAGCATCATTTGGCTTTAGGAGACACACTGCTCTCACAGGATAAGCTGCCCTGACTTCCCATATTCCCCTGAGCGCACCTCCAGCCTGCTGCCTGCAAGGCCCGTCCTTCTCAAGATAGTCTTTACTACGTCCATAGAGCTGACCCTGACCAGAGAGAATTAGTGCAGAAACCACTGGGCTCACCAGCCCTCTCCAGGGCTCCTTTTGCTTTGGAATGTCCAGGCTAGCTCTTGGTGGGGTGGAGCAGTTAGATCTCCATGTTCAGTACTGGTGAGAGGTGTGCAGAAATGCCAATCCTTATACACTTTAGCACGGCTACAGAAGAAAAAAGCACATGGAGGAGTCTAAAATCCTCAGCCCAGCCGTCCCACTATGAGGTACGTGTTCAAATGAAATGCCATCAGTATGTTAAAGAGACATCTGCACTTCTGTGTTTATAGCAGCCTTAGTCACCATAATCAAGACACAGAATCAACCATCTTGTCAATCAACAGATGGGTAGATGTGTTAGGTTACATGCATCATACAATGCTATTCAGTTATTAAAATGATAAAAACCTCATCATGGACCTGGAGGGCATTATGTTAGATGGGTAAGCCAAGTTCAGAAAGCTACTCACTATGCACTTCACCCAAGTACAGTCTTAAGAAGCCCATCTCAAAGAAGTGGAGTGCAGAAGAATAGTTCTCAGAGCCTGGGGACAACAGAGGGGAGAGAGGGCCAGAGGCCAGTCAGAATGGACACTAAGTCACAACAGATGGGAGGAGTAAGTCCTGGGCCTGCTGCACAGCAGGGTGGCTAAGCCAGCAGTAATGGACCGCATGTTTCCAGGTAGCGAGAAGATGGGATTGGAGTCTCACTGCACAGGGACGATAAATGTTTGGTGTAGTGAATGTACTAATGTTGCTGATTTCATCACCACACAGTACACAAGTATCAAAACACCACATCACACCTCATAAATACATACAATTACCATGCCAATTAAGTGATTCAAATAACAAAATAAAATGCTTATCAAATTTGAATATCCTCCTTTAAAGAGGCAGGAGCAGACTGATGCACCCGCAGTGTTGACAACCTATCCTTCACTACTAGGCAAAGCAAAGCAGGCTGTAAAAGGCTCAGGACGGGTGGTGCTTGAAGCATGATATGAAATTCAGAGGCAAAAAAAAAAAAAAAAAAAAAGCCAATTCTCTCCCAGCCTCTTCAAATTAACAATTAGCTTCACACATGGCAGGTGATGTTTGCTGAAACCTAGCCACACCTACCAAAACAAAACAAGCCAGGGCCAGTGAGAGAGCTTGGTGGATAAAGGAGCTTTACCCAGCAGCCTGGCAGCCTGACTCCTATCCCTGAGGTTCACATAGTGGAAGGAGACAACCAGCTCCAACAAAAAGCCATCTACCTCCATATGCATGCCGTGACATGTGTTCCCAGACACGCAAGTTAGTGTATGTGTACACACACACACACACATGCAGCAAGAAGAAACAACTGTAATAAAAAAGGAAAACAAAATAAATTGAAAGTTACAGTAAGCGTAGGTTCTTTTAAATAAGATGTATATATACTACACCTAACCCAAACCATCTTTACATTCTCTGGTGCTTGCTTCCTTCCTTTCCTCTCTCTCTCTCTCTCTCTCTCTCTCTCTCTCTCTCTCTCTCTCTCTCTCTCTCATGCTGAGATGCTGTCTTGCTATTTGGAACACATCAGTAAACAAAAGGACTTATGGAAGAGACAGGCTGTGAGCAACAAGACACACGATGAATTAAATCACACAGTGTGGTGGAAGACGGGGACCACAGAAAATCACTAAAGCTGGACAAGGGGATGGGGGAGCAGGATGTGCAGGCAGAGCGGGGCAGGGGTGCAGGCGTCAGAGAAGGTCCTGCTGAGATGATAAAGATGAAGACACTTCTTTGTTTAAAAATAGCATCTTCAAACAAGGATAAAATCACGGTTGCCAGATGGAAACAATGGGAATTAGGTAAATGTTCTGACGGCATCAAAATCTGAATAATGGGGCATTTACAGTGGAGGAATACTGAGACGAAATAGCAAATAGGGACAAGAATGGGGGTGGAAGGCAACAATGAGGCATTGTAGGACAGAGCTGAGTACCATGACAGAGCTACTTTACAGCCAGCTCTCTATAATAAACAAAGCCACAAGTTCGTTTCCATAAAATCTGAATCCCACTGGCCAGAGGGGACTTCTCCAGAACCTAAACTCAGCATGGCTTTACTGAGCAGGCTTCCTTTCTACACCTCGAGGAGGCTAGTGACGGGGTGTTTGTGCACCCGGGGAAGGCTACTCGGGGGTGGCAAGATTCTGGGGCATTCAACTAGAGCATCTGCCCTGCCTGCCTGTGGGGATGTCACTTCACCTTTCTGTATATCTCATGCTCACAGGTAAAGTGGGACTGATGGTGGTGGTGGTTATAATGGTGATGCTGGTTATAATGGTGATGGTGGTTATAATGGTGATGCTGGTTATAATGGTGATGGTGGTTATAATGGTGATGCTGGTTATAATGGTGATGGTGGTTATAATGGTGATGGTCGTGGTTATAATAGTGATGATGGTTATAATGGTGATGGTGGTGGTTATAATGGTGATGGTGGTGGTTATAATGGTGATGGTGGTTATAATGGTGATGGTGGTGGTTATAATGGTGATGCTGGTTATAATGGTGATGGTGGTGGTGGTTATAATGGTGATGGTGGTGGTTATAATGGTGATGGTGGTGGTGGTTATAATGGTGATGGTGACAAAGGGTAAAAACGCCTGCCTTGCACGATGATTACTGTTAAGTATTACCATGTTACTAATAGACTATACCTGGGCAAAGGAAGCACTACTTACACACTGGCTGCTGTCACTTCTCTTTGCAATGATGCTGTGACATCAGATGGTCACTGCCCACTCTCAGGTCACAGCATTCAGACACTGCATGGCTTTGTCATTAGGCACTGGCCTCGATGTAGTCACTGAAGTCTAGAGAACGCTCAGCCACACTGTGTGTGTTGGCTTACAAGGTGACTTGTAATTTAACTATGCACACTGTTAGGTCTATCGTTTGATATCCTTGTAGGTAACACAGCACCAATCCTTTTCCACTAGCATAAGACCTAACTCCTGAGACCTCCAAGTTGGGCAGTTCAGCAGAGAGCAAGCCCTGTTGTTGATGCTGACCCTGGGAACACTTTGCTCCCATGGATCGTGTGTTCCTGGAGAAGGCCAGAGAGTCAAGTGGATGGGATGTGCTGAGTCGGGGGCAGGGGGCTCTAAACTAGTCTCTGGGGGTGACATGACCTATGGGGGTTCCCTAAGTCACCACGGTTAGGAAAGAGTTGGAGATGATGTTTTTGTATACTCAGTAGTCACAGCCTCTGTGTTTCCAACACTCAGTTTTTGTTTGTTTATTTTTTAATGTAAACACAAAATGGTTTTTATTCTCCCGAGTTGTCTCTCTTGAAAAAAAACAAACCAAAACAAACAACATAAAAATATCCCCATGAAAAAACCTTAGACCAGATTCACACAATGCAAGATGCTGCAGATGGAACAGACTGACCACTCTTGCTGTCTTGCCACACACACCACAGGGAGACTGCCTACTTGGGAGACATCCTGAGGTCCCATCTCCTGGCTCCCTCAGCTTCAGAAGCTCAGGACCGCTTGTTGGAGGGAGGGCTCGCTACCTCCTATCTGCCACAAGGTGGCGCCAGATGTCCTCCTGTGAATTGGCCTCAGACTCCACTCAAAGCCAGAGCTTCGGGCAGCCGTTCTTAGAAATCCAAAGCCTCCTTTGCTTGTTCCTTTGACTGACACCTGATGCTTTTCTTATCATGTCAGCTTTGCTTCTGCAGTTGCAGAGCTGGCAGCTGGGAGGGTAAAAGGACACTCATTTCCTTTCTTTCCTTTTACCCTGTTTTGCTTTGATCTGAGACAGGGTCTCACCATGCAGCCCTGGCTGTCCTGGAACTCCCTATGTAGACTAGGCTGGCCTGGAACTCACAGAGGACCTGCCTGCCTCTGCCTCCCAAGTGTGCACCACCATACCTGTTGCCTTTGACTTCTTTAAGCTTACACTGGTAACTAAAGAAACGAACCAAGAAAATACAGAACCAGGAGCTGTGTGGAGGACTCATGGGAGAGATGCCACCTTTCTGTTAAAATGTGTGTGGATCCAGAAAAGAGAAAGAACCCGGCCTACCGCTGACATTTCTCCTGGATGCACTTCCTTGCCCAGTGGGGAAAGGGCTCAGGGTTGTCGCATCACCATTGTCCAAGGGGATTGGCGGGAACCAGGAACACACTGACGTCAAGGAGCAGGAAAACATCTGGGTCTGCCGGGACCCAGGACAGGTAACTTTGGAGTGTGACAGAGTAACTTGATAAGTACATTAACACTCGATGCCTACAAACTCTGAAGTCTTTGTGTCTACTGAGTGGTTCTCAGCCTTCCTAATGCTGCAACCCTTGAATACAGTTATGTTGTGGGGACTCCAACCCTACAGTTATTTCATTGATTTCATAACTGTAATTTTACTGCTCTTATGAACTGTAATGCAAACATCTGTGCTTTCTGATGGTCTTAGGCAACCCCTGTGAGAGGGTTGTTTGACTCCCCCACCCCACCAAAGGGTCACAACCCCACAGCCTGAGAACAGCTGGTAGGTATTTTTTCTGAGATGAGCCTAAGATTATTACAATTTCTTTTTTCAAGCAGCATTTTACTTATTGCAGACCATCACACACGAAAAACTAATGTATAAAATCAAGGGGTTCATGTTCCCCAAAGCTCTTTCGATGGCACAACCAATGTCTGTGTCCTCATTTGTTCTGTAAATAAGCTATAGGTTGCTCATGTCTTAAAAAGAATGAGAGAACAGCAAAGAGAGGTCAGTATTGCTCAACCTAGAAACTTATCCTCTCAACTATGGGACAGTTTGCCATGTTTTAAAAAATGATCTATCATCTGAGGGGAGAATTTTCAGAAGTCACTGACAGCCATAGCAGAATTGCAGTTCACTGTCTACACAGACTGCCCAACTCTCCTGGAACTCTGTCATCTGTGGGTAAATCAGAAGTGACCCGACTGGCTGGCTGGGGGCTCACACACAGGGCTGGGGGCTCACACACAGGACTGGGGGCTCACACACAGGACTGGGGGGTTCACACACAGGGCTGGGGGCTCACACAAGGGTGTTTTCGGGGCTCACACACAGGGCTAGAGGCTCACACACAGAGCTGGAGGCTCACACACAGGGCTGGAGGCTCACACACAAGGGTGTTTTCGGGGCTCACACACAAGGCTGGGGGCTTACACACAAGGCTGGAGGCTCACACACAGGGCTGGGGCTCACACACAGGGCTGGGGCTCACACACAAGGCTGGGGGCTTACACACAAGGCTGGGGCTCACACACAGGGCTGGGGGCTCACACACAAGGGTGTTCTTGGGGCTCACAGGGCTGGGGGTTCACACATAGGGTTGAGGGCTCACACACAGGGCTGGGGGCTCACACACAGGGCTGGATGCTCACACACAGGGCTGGGGGCTCACACACAAGGCTGGGGGTTCACACACAAGGGTGTTTTCGGAGCTCACACACAAGGCTGGGGGCTCACACACAGGGCTGGATGCTCACATACAAGGGTGTTTTCGGGGCTCAAACACAAGGCTGGGGGCTCACACAGAAGGCTGGAGGCTCACACACAAGGCTGGGGGCTCACACACAGGGCTGGAGGCTCACACACAGGGCTGGAGGCTCACACACAAGGGTGTTTTTGGGGTTCACACACAAGGCTGGGGCTCACACACAGGGCTGGAGGCTCACACACAGGGCTGGGGGCTCACACACAAGGCTGGGGGCTCACACACAGGGCTGGGGCTCACACACAAGGCTGGGGGCTCACACAGAAGGCTGGAGGCTCACACACAGGACTGGGGCTCACACACAAGGGTGTTTTTGGGGCTCACACACAGGGCTGGATGCTCACACATAGGGCTGGTGGTTCACACACAGGGCTGAAGGCTCACACACAAGGCTGGGGGCTCACACACAGGGCTGGAGGCTCACACACAAGGGTGTTTTTGGGGCTCAAACACAAGGCTGGGGGCTCACACAGAAGGCTGGAGGCTCACACACAGGACTGGGGCTCGCACACAGGGCTGGAGGCTCACACACAAGGGTGTTTTCGGGGTTCACACACAAGGCTTGGGGCTCACACACAGGGCTGGGGGCTCACACACAGGGCTAGAGGCTCACACACAAGGGTGTTTTCTTTGGAATACTAAATGGATGGCTACATTGCCTCCACTGGAATGCTGTCTTCGGGCTTCTACTTCCTCCAACATCCGCAAATTCATCCTCTTCCTGCCCCGCCCCAGCAGGGCACAACCCAGCCCTATCTTGTCCCATGGGTTTTCAGACCTCTCTAGACCGCCCCACATGGAGCCTCTTTGATCTCTGATATGGCAGCATCCCAAAGCTTCTCAAGGTACAATTTGTTCTTTCTGGGCCTGGAGAAGAGGTGGGCCACTTACAGGATAAATAAATATCTCATGTCCCAGAAGCACACACCTTCCACGAACCTCAAAGACACAAGTCAATTCTAACCGGGGTAGCGCTGGAGCTCAGAGTAATACCCGCATGCTGTTGGGCTGCAGCAAAGTCTATGTGATACAGTCACATCTGCCTTATAAGAAGCAGGGTTTCCACAAACGAGCTAAGTATTTTTAACCAGTATTTCGTTAGCATCCCCAGCACCCACTAAACAGGTGTGTAATGATCCCAATTTTCTTATCTCAATTTCTTTGGGGGGGGGGATTGAAGTATTTGGCTTCACTGATGATAATAAAAGTTAAAGATCCCAGGCATTAATCAGTCACCCTCTTGGGATAAATATGGCATTATCCACTTTCCCAGGGTCGTCTGATCATCCGAGCCCTACGTGCACAGAACATGCAAAGTCTCTTCAACACACAAACCTCCACTTACTCTCTTATTTGAAGACAACAGACCACGATGTTATGGGTGGCTAGATCCAAGAAAGAAACCAATAAGTCACCCAGATTTCACAAGGGAGGCTGCAGACACCGGGCTGCCCACGTCCACTCCTCTGTTCCCAATAGGTCCAGGAGACAGAGTCAGAAACCACAGCACTTGGGGGGGGGGTGCTTTCCAGATAGCCAACGGGACTAACAAAGCAGACCATGTCTTGAAAGACGAGTAGGGCTGTAAAACACAGGGGTCCCTGCACGGTGGGTACATCCACCCCACCCCCACCCTCTACCCCGGGGATGTGGACCATGTTTTTTCTCTCAACAGAAGGGCTGTTGCTTTCCAGCCCTTTTGGGATGAAACCCTGAGCATTTACTTTCTGGGTGATTGTTTTCATTG